TTACGAAAGAATTGAATCAGTAACTGCCTTAGCTCCCTGGAGAGCTAACTGGCAAGAAGCAAGAATATTCCCAGCTAATCAGTAAGTAGTGGTCAAAGAGAGAGCGGAGTGGGCAATAGGAAAAGTTTCACCTTATTCGACGAATCATTCTCCTAGTCAATTCGTTAGCTAATTCATCCTAGCCTCACGCTTGCTTCTATTATGATAGAGATAGTGACAGACGGCTTGGCTTGGTTAGTAGTGCCCACCCATTCGCCCGCCTGCCGGCCCGCTCTGAAGTGCCTAGACGCGCCGCAGCCACTACTTTGACTCCTTTTTTGCAATTATGAACTCCACGGAACTTTCTCGATACCAACGCAACTTATCCTTTTTGAGCTGACGTAACAAACTACGCGAGCCCCCTAACGAAGCCAACATAAATCCTATCCGAATAAAAAAAATAAAAGGCAGTTTCATTATGGTGGTATACCAGCCGCCTGTTCTGGAACTTCCAGTTCCAATCGAAGCATATAGATCCGTAAATAGATTTGTATGTATAGCCACTTCAGTCGTGCTCGTCGTTTCTCGAAAGTATCTTTTTTCTGGGAACATGGTCAACCAGAAATTATTATGTTCGCGATTCTTCATCCACCGATGCAGAAAATGCTCAAGTTTTCCATTCTCATATGAGGCCGGAAAGTTTATTAGCAACAGGTCGGCACGAAGTGATTCATCATGCTCAAACATGAGCCGATCGTTCGTTAGGGACGGTTTATAGATCATCAAATTCCCACAAATGGAATGAGAAGTGGGTCCATGTAAATGATCGAGACCTCGCAAACAACAACGTTCCTTCCCCATATGGAGTTCGGAACCCAAAGGCAATCGTTGAGTGAACTGTATCTTCTTTGTGTTAGTTGACCTAAGCCGCACCATTACTGCTGGGGTGGGGCTCGGCCTCCGAACCGTACGTGAGACGAGTTTCTGCCTCATACAGCTCGGGCCGAAGACCGGGGGAAGTTTAGAGGAGATGGGGAGACCCAGCAGCTGCCGGTCGGGGCGGAGCTTGTGAAGAAGCAAGCTTATCCCCCCCCCAAAAAAAAAAACCAATCCTATAGCGCTTCGCGTTCCTTCTATTCCATTTCATTCCGGGATAGGCGGGTAAGACTAATCTAATAAATGAAGTAGTCGTCGTCTGACCATCGGACACCAGACCGCTCGTGCCCGCCCATTCTGTCTCGCCCAAAATGGAATGGCTCTCTTAGTTAGGCTGCGCCCCGACCCGAGTCCCCACGTCCGCTCTTTCTCCGCCCGTAACCCAAGAAGTTGGCAAAGCCGACACAACATTAGTTAGAGCCATCCCCTTCATTCTATGCTGACCCCGGCCCGGGGCTGGCTTTTTGGGAAGTCCGTTCCCACCGCGCTCACGGCCCGGCTGGCCTGCCAGCGGTAGTGGGAATTTTCCCGTTCCCTGGTCAAAGACTTGGGTGGACGCGGGATCTACTCCACGAGGAGCGGTACGGACATAGATGATATCATCACGACCTCTCTTTTCGTACCGCTAGGGATGCTTAACGCCACTTCGCCAACTGGCGTTACCTGCGCTTTCGTGTCTCTCAGTGTGGTCAGCACTGGGTGTTTCCGAGCAGCGAAGCTTACACCCATTCGCATTAGTTCATCCAAAGTTCCTTACCCTTATGCACGAATTATTGAATAAGCCATCTTCCTATCAAGGTTAAGGAGTCAACTGAGCATCTCAGCGGCGGGATTGAATACCCGGATCGAATCAGAGTTCACGCCGCCCGCCCTGAACAAATAGGAGGCGTGGGCCACAGGTTGCACATAAGCCGCCGGGTCGCACGACAGAAGAACACCCAACATACAGATGCACACTCCTCCATGTGAAATATTCATCTTCATTGGAGCTTTTTGGTAGTAGTCGTGACCAACAGCCATCAGCTGTCGGCTCGTTGGTAAGGCGAGAGCTTCAACCCCGATTTCTGGTGGCACCCCCCCCACACAAGCACCGCCCGACGAAGGGGGGACGGGGAAAGCTAGAGGCCCAAAACCTTCGACCCTTCTTTTTAAATGGGGGTGCCCGGAGCACCTCATCTTGTCATTTCGTCGTTGCTCATTCCCGTTAGGCCGAAGTGTTTGGCGTTTCCTTCTCCGCGCCCGCTCACGCTTCGCTGACCTATCGCGTGGTAAAGAGAAGAAAGTACGAAAGAATAGTAAACAGAGCACACCGCAGAAAGATTCTAAATATGAGAAGTCCCCCTTGGATTCGAGAAGAAGGAAATGAAGAACGGGAACGAAACGAAATAAGGCGTTTCTAGCTCTAGTTTCGGGTGAGCTTCTCCGAATTTTGTCTGGTAATAGAATGGGGCGGCTTGCTCTGACCAAGACTCCACTTTTTGCTCCGTCCATGGAGCGTATGAATTTCCTGGAATGTAGATAGACCAAAAGAGGGAATAAAGAGATAGGAATAGGAATTATAGTACCATTGGAAGAAGGGGCACCTATGGGAACATCTCTACTGAAAAACCATTTCAATAGTACGGGTGCTGCCGTGCCACGAGGCACGACCATGGAAGTAATGAAAAAGAAAAAGTTATGTAGTTGGACCATGTGCTCTATCCGTTCGAGTTTCGCTTCTCTAGAGAAGGTGAGACGCTAAAAATGAAAGTGTTCGCAACGCATACCGAAAGGGTACCAATGAAGCCGACCATTAATGACTAGTTCGAACACCAGGAGCGGTCTGATCAGGATCAGACAGACCGCTCTTAGAAAGAAAAGCAAACTCTCACGGAGCCCAGCTCCAACTACTTCTTAGTAAGTGAGGTGAGGTACTTCTTTCGGGGTCGCCCTTTTTTGGTTGAAGCAGCCACGACTTTGGTCGTAGTCAGTTCAAACACATAAACCCAGTCCACTTGCAGCCATGTTGATCAAAATGACTAAGTTTCATGACTTGACCAGTCACTCGCCCTCGTATTATAAGATCATCTCACCTTGTGGTCGACATTCCATTCCCCTTAGTCGTAGGTGCTCGTTCTATTTTTTTTGATTTGAATGGGCCGGGTCTCCCGAGGTACATATGGCCGGCCTTTCGGGTGTCTCGGTGATACAAACAAAAAAAAGACGAATTCCTCCCGTTGGTCGCCTCTCTCCAAGCCAATCCGTCACCAAAGGAGGAAATAGAATCGAATAATCTACCTTCTTTTTTCCTTCCCTCCCCCGACAATCAAGCTGCACTTCCTTCTAACAAGTGGCTGAGAGTTAGCAAGCTACCTTGGCAGGCGGTTCGCTGTCCCCTTCCTTCCTTTCCGGTCCGGCCGCGGTACGGCACCTGAACTCGAAGCTACGATCAGATCCGATTGGATCTGATCCGTTCAGATTCCACAGATCCAGCCGATTTGGTCTGGTCCTATCCGACCCAACCCCAGAACTTAGAATGGCCGGCGTGTTTTGGACAGTAGAACGGGAAGAGGGGGAGTCGTGCCCATTCTCTCTCCGGGCACGAGCAGGACAAATTGAAGACCGAATCGAATACATGTATATGACAGAACGACATATTCAAAAATACGTGATCTGATTGGATAGGCTGCCTGCAGAAAGAGTTTTCCGACCGCATAACAATTCATTCTTTTGTGTAGCGCGTGGGACCATGTCTCCCGAACGATCATAGTGCGGCCACTCATCTAAAAAGAAATTGGTAGATCTCACTTCCCTTCCCCCATACCATAGCCGGAAGGAAGGGATAGCGTATCTACAGAAGAAAGAGTAAAGGCCCTCACCTTTAATTTAGTTTAGACGCAGCTCGAATGCCTTTACGCTATAGGCTGTGTTAAGCATGCTTCTTTGACAAAAAAGAAAGTCTTTTTCCATGACAACAGTCGCGACTATACTATAAAGGGCGGGGCAGTAAGCTCTCTATCAACAACAGGGGGCTGTTCTCCTTTGTCAACTCCTTGCTTGTGTCGTTGACTTTGTCAACGCGGACCGGGGCGAGCGGAATTCAGTAGAGGCTCGAAGATACTAAGCGAAGGGCGCTTTAGCGGCTTTGCTATCCATCCTACTATACTACCGAAGGGCGACGGGCAAAGCTGCAAGGAGATAGTGTGCCTTTCTTTGTTCTCATAGCAGAGTGAGGGGCGCTATCCATCCGCCAATAGAGCCGGTTTTAGTGAAGATCCGCTCATATGCTGCATGAGGGGCGGCAAAAGACGACTTTGCCCATGAGTTAGCCGGAATTCGGACCAAAATCTCACTTGCAGCTCAGCTGACCCGCTTTCATTGCATTCGTGTCGAAAGTGGAGAATAAATAACGAAGATTCGGTCGGTTGATCTTTTCCTTTTAGTTCGAGAGGTTCGTGATGCAAGGAATTGGCCAACGATCTTCTATATGATGCTTATAGTTCTGGCTCAGAGGCGTTACGCATTGCACGCAACGATTGTCTTCCTTTCGCGGGCGAGCCTATGCGTTGAAAGTAGGTCAATCTGCTTCTTCGGTTCGCCTATTGGCTCATGTCTTTCTCACCCTTTTTTGGTGTCTTAGGAGTCGCCTAAATGCTCTAAGAAATCGGTTATCGTATTACCTTGCCCATGCGCTACTTTATCTTTTTTAATTCTTTCCGATATGAGCCGAAACCACGACTGATTGATTCGCCAATCTTAGCAAATAAGAGGCAATCTTTCGATTTCGACGAATCCGCACTTGGCCTGAAAGTCCCATCCCTAGGACCTGTAGTAGCACGAAAACAAGCAAGCTTTTTCCGATGTCTTCGACACAGGAGATTAGGACAGAGAAGTTAGCGATAGGGGTCTCTCCTCTCCCTTACCACTTACTTTTTCCTACTACTTTGAACTGACTGAGATGACTTCGCTTCAACCCAGTTATTATTTACGCAATTTCCAGATCGAGCCAAGCACTGAGCTTCATTCCAGCTTTGGAATGAGAGGAAGGGGGCAGTTACCTTTCTCGGAGGATGCTGGCTTTATTAGGTATGAGTGCCGGTACTGAACACTGGAATCGGCTAGGCTACTAGATATAATGCTTCCACTCCGTACTCTGTAATAAGAAGAACCAAGCATCCACCGTATAAGAGAAAGACCGTCGACCCCTGAGATGAAAGAAGGAAACTTAGGTGCTGAACCCAGGCGGGGGCCCCGGATAGGAGGTCAGTGTGTGATCAGTTAGATAGGGGATCTCTTAACCAGAATTACGGAATGAGGACCGGGCCTGTACTCATGGTAACGATGGAAGGAAATATTTCGAAGACTTCTCAGTAGTGGAAGAAGGTAATATCACCTTGGTTAGGAAAAGCGCTTTAGGCTGGGCAAAGCCTTTATTTTCTTAATGGGGACCCAATAAGTTCAGTACATGTAAAGATAAATACATCACCTCTCTCCTAGGCCTCTTGGGACTCTCCTTTGGCAACCCGTCGCGCCCTCGTCGCGGCGTTAGCAGCCATTGACGATGAAGACTAAGCGAGCCGGCCGGAGCATATGCTACTTTTTCTAAATCGTGAACACCTTATCTTTCTTCTCTGTCTGATCCGCACACTCCAGACCTCGCCTCGGTTCTTGGCTTTGATCCAATTCCGAAGCTCGTTTGCTCACTAGCCGATGTCATTTTCAATTGACTTAGTTAGAAATGGGGATACCGTACCACTTTAAATTAAACAAGCGCCAGGAAAATGGAGCTTACCGCGCTGAGTTACGTCGTAGGCGAAGCTTTCGATTCGACAAATGAATGGTTGGTGCTTCCCTTCTTTAGCCTATTTGCCTATTTGGTAGATTCAATTAGGGCTAGCTCAAAGACTGGCTAATCCCAATCCGATGGATCAACTCTTTCGCGTCGCTTAACGACTTGTAACTCTGGCGAGTACCGATGCTCCAAATTGGATTACCTAGCGCTTGGGTGAGATGTTCGACAAGAGACTAAGGACTTTTTAGGTGGGAGTTCCATCCGAGACGGACTGGAATCACCGGCTCATACTAGAGCTTCCGGACGAACTCAAAAGCGAAAGATCGAAGCCTTACCTTATTCATTCGTGGAAGGAGCTAATACAGAATACGAGAAAACTCCTTCGAAAACGAAATCGGAAAGAGAGATGCTTTCAATCCAACAATTGTAATTAGTAGCCGACCTTTAATTGATAATTGAAATTGACCAATGTTCGTCTATCGGCTCAAGTCTTTCCAGAAGCCGGAAGGAAGAGCGCTTTTTTGCTTTTCGTGTGATCACTTTCCATAATGGTTTCCTACCGAAGGTAAAAAGGCAAACAAAGGATACGGGGACCCAAGCTCTTATACGTGAAGTGCTTTCCGGCAAACTTAGTATCGAGAACTTCTAAGCGAATCCGTTACCGCTCCCGAAGTCAATTTACCCTCAGAGAAAGTAAATGCGTTTACACGTACGCATACATAAACAAAGTAGGGACCAGGAAAGACATTCATGCTACAGAAAAATGCATTCGACCACCTGAACTTGAACGCTCTCTTTCTTTTTAACGTTCTAACTGAACACACCTTGAAGAGGGAATCATCGAGCGTAAAAGCACGCTTCAGAGCATGTGTGCCGCATAAGCTAAGTCTCGTTTTCTTTTCTTCGACCAGCACTGACCCATTGGTCAAAATAAAGTATGAGAAGAATAGGTCCCCAAAGACTTGTTTTAGATCGAGAAGTTCATTTCGCCTTCAAGTGGCTTTCGTAAGGGAGTTTCCGTCTCTATTGATTATTGGTCTAGACGAGCGCATAGGACTTGCTCATCGACTTAACTGAATGAATCCTTGGGACTGGAAGCATTATTCATCTCAAGGCTTTATCTGACCCCTTTTGATGAGTGGATTTATCGATGTGAGGTAAACCTATGGGTATAGATACTTTAACATAAAGGGCTTTTTCGTAGATAGGCTAGTACTCATTCGAGGGTAATTCTCTGCCCGGAATGAATGCCTTTTTTTTTTTTTATCCGCTTCTATTTTTTAAATAGAAAACTGTGCGCTTATGCGCCTCAAAGCAGAAGGGTCTGGAGTTTTGATGGACTTTGCAGGCTCACCCATGACGGTTACGGTTTCAGTACGCTCTTCCCTCCACTTCTTAGCCCTTTGTCTCCTCTAAGAAAAGAGTCTTAGCTTCTTTCTTCTCCTAAGAAACTCCTAAATCTAAATAAAGAATTGGAATGCTTCTACTTTTTGGGAAATCTCTCTAATGGGTTAGGCCTGCATTCTGTATTTCAACTAACTTCGGTACGGTCCGTTGACCAAATGAAAGCAAAAGGCGAATCTCGAGGTCAATCTGATGGACTGACTGAAAGAGTTTGAAGTCAAGTCAGTCTTGTTTATCCTATCTCCGAATACCAGGAGCGAGAAAGGTAGCTATTGCCTTGATCCCATCTCTCATTCCCATTGGGAACCGGCTATTCCCACTTCTTATAAAGAATTCTAAAGAGGGAAATGCCTCATGGTCCGGAGAGAGCTTTTTCTCATTCTATTCGATGAATATCAGATCCAGTGTTAAGTCTTTTGGTAAGCGGGAGTAATCTTAGACGAATCTAGATATTAGATATTGGTGATAGTACTGGTGCTCAAGACCCGGCAGTCTTACCCAAAGATCTCTTTTTTTAATCAGGCTTCAAAGTCAAGTCCAAGTAAAAGAGTGCAGTTTCGCGAGAAAAGGGGGGACCCATAGGATAGAGAGCGGGTGGAACACTGTACCAAGGACAAGGATCGACCTTTAGTTTAGGGAGAAAGAGAAGGAGAAGATGGAACCTGATATGAAATATGAATAAGAGGTGGAGGGCAGTCCTCACTTCTAGTAAGATAGTTACGCTTTCGGCGTCAGCCAAATGATCTTGATAGGACTATAAAAGTAAAAGGGCCACGATAGGCAATAAGGAAGAACTGAGGTTCGAGCCCTCAGCGTGGTTAGCAAAGAAAAGGAAAGGGCACACAGTCTGAAAGTAGCTTCTTCCTCATCTTAGGGCGCTTGAGAAGGCTTCTTCCTTAAGAGGGATTGGGATGAACATGAACTGAACTGACATTCATGCCAGAACGTAGACCCCTTTCCTGTCTCAGGAACCGGGCGTATTCCTTTCCAACCTTCTTTGGACTGGACCTTCTTCTCTTATGAAATCAAACTTCTCTGCTGACAGAGTGCTTCGTTGATTCAAAAGCTATGTCCTTCCCGTTGCTGAAGCGCCTGCACTCTAGCACGGCGCTCTTTTTTAGTTTTTATATTCGCTTGACACTTACTTTACGTGATGTCACAGTTCGATTAGAGCTAGCTCGACCAGCAGCCCATCCTAATTCTTCGCCGATTCATCCCTTCGTTCCTTTTCTCTTGGGCATCTCATTTAGAATACAATGCATTCTTTTCGATCCCTATGTAGGCTTGCTTCGCATAGGCTACACCGGTACACTTAACACTCACCCAATCTTTAAAATGGAGTCGAATCAATCAACTGGCATATCTGGGATCCGCCCTAGGCTACTTTTATTATTTTTTATGAAATGAAAAGTGTGAGGAACTTCTTACTCCTAAATGCAGCCGTGATCAACTATACGATACCACCAGACTATCCTCGGTACTTCCATCCACCAATCAAGGCTAGTGGAGCGAAGAGAGCCAAAAAAACGTGAGCGCCCCTACGCGAGCCTTATTGAAAAAGCCCCTTACTATAGATAGGGCGTTAGCGCTTTACTAATAACATAAAAGGGGAAAGCCAAAACCTACTCCTAACAAGATCGAAGTAGAACATTCTCCATCCGCCCGCCAGCAGCAGGGGGGTTCGATTCCCGTTATACGCGATGTGGCGAAGAAAAGCGCTTGTTATTTGCGGAAAGGAAGAAGTCATCCCTCTTGCTGGAGGAAACTACCTTTCTATCCTTCTCCTGCCCCTCTCAGTTGGAAAAAGGGCTTTCAGAGGACTTTCCCTAATCTCCTTTGCTCCCTAATCCATTCCCGGTGCCATTCAACTATCTGACAATAGAGTATCTAAGTCAAAGCTGTTCCCGGGTTCAGGTGAAGAATGTTAGAAAGACTCTCATGAAAAAAACCTCTAACTTGGTTCGAGTGGCTGATAGCTGCTTATCGCTCCTGTCCAGTCATCTTAGTCCATGGCTTCTGTTTCATGCTTGGTTGATGGAAGACAGCTTTGAGTGCCGTTACTTTCCCCCTCCATGCTTGAAGTTCATTCCTCCGTTGTGCTTTGTCTGTCATCTTCTTTCTTCCCTTCCTCGGGCACAGTAAGACAAAGAGCTGTTTTCTTTCTTGCTTTGTTTTTTCTTGTTGCTTCTGTTTGGGCTTGCTCCTCTGTTATCCCTGACTCAAATCCCTAAACTTAATGAATGAAGGAAGGGTCTCCGCTCCTTACCCTATCGGGCAAGTGGCTTACACTCCTTGCTTGCTTTCATCCTGCTTTTAGTGCCGCTTGCTTGCTCGAAGGAGGGGCTACCGCTCTTTAACCTCGTCGGTAAAGCGGCTTGAATAGGACTTTCCCTATTTTCATTGGCCTTTTCTTCGATGTCAATGTGCTCAGGTCCTTTCTTTGCCCCTTCCCTTGGGTTGGGCTCTCCCTCAAATGCCCTTTCCCTTCGTTATCTCTACATGAGTGAAACTCAAGCACTCGAATATCAGTAGATTAGCGTCACGCCAACGCAACTCTCAAACCATCGGCGAGAGGAGAGTAGGTCCGGCTATGACTTTCATAGGAACCGTTGGGCCACTATGCCATAGTGAGAGTAGGGACCCATCCCATATGACTCAGAGTCAAAGAAAGCTCTTAGCCTCCGACCAGTGAAGATCAGGAAGCCGAGAGGCGGATGAGCACCTGATCGTTTTCTACGCAATTCATTGAGTTGATGGAGTACCGAGAATAGTCTTTAGCTAGAAGCTCAGAGGCTTCAGAGGCGCCAGCCATTAGCTCAAGTTAACCCGCACTTCCTAAGGTTACGGTTACGGAACGAAGGAGCCCGAGCTATATGCTTAATGAAATTCTATGACAGATAGGGATGTCGATAGAAAGAAGGGAGTAGAGTAGACATCTTCACATACTCTATTTTCAGATCTTTTTGTTCAGGGCGGAGAACATTATCTTTCATTCCTCAGTCGCTTGCCCGAAGTTTTATCAGTAGTTCGGCTCTTTGCCCCAACACTCGACTTCAAGCTTAGGTAGCCGTAGCCATTTCGGATTCGGGGACGGGTCCGCGCAGTAGGAGAAAGCCTTCTTTCTTCATCAGCAGGAGCAGCCTTTAGGTCTAACTCTAAGACTTCAACCTATCTTTCATCAAGCCAGAAAGCAACCAAAAAAGCCACTTGAGCAGAAAACGGCTCAAAGAGCGAAGTTTAAAGGGCTCAGTGCCTCATAGCTGTTCCGAGCCGCATTTACTATGTAACAGTCCAATCGAAGAAGCTCGTATCCGCGTCGGACGAAGAGCTTTCTCAGACTCCTCAAACATGGGAGGGGAGTACGGTCATAGAACGAGTCCCGAACCCGAACCGGTCAAAGACGGACCTGTATACTCTTATTAAGAATATAAGTGCCCAGGCTATTCATGAAGAGGAGAAGCCAAATCGATCATAACAGCACTTCCAATAGTTGAATCAAGGGATGTGGAATCGACGAATTCTTGACCTCCTCAGGGGAAAGACGAAGAAGAGCTTAGTTGATAGGATAGAAGGAGGATTCCTTCTCTAATCTAACCCATACATAGACGAAAGTCAGGCATCGGTGGAAGTGCTAAGCGCAAAAAGTGAAGAAGCTTTGAAGCCGATCGAAGACAGCGAGAGTAGCAGCTGATCTTCTACCTGATCTATCTACCATATTGATTGATGTATTAGAGAGACCAAGTTCCTACGAGGGAAGAAAAGATTCACCAGCTCTATCGATTATCAAATCCCTGTACCTTTGTGAAAGACATCGCATGGAATAGCTTACACGGGAACGGGGAAAGGTAGAAACTCAGATTCAAAATAGAAGTTCCTGAGCTAGAAGGAATGGGGTCAGGGGTGGAGACTGACTGCCAAGGAGCGTAGCAGCTCGACCAGAGGGAGAGGAGTGAAGCTGCTTGACCGAATAAGTGAAAGAGCGAACCGCAACTAGACCTGATAAAACAGCAGCTTTCAGGCATCCGGAGGTCTTAGATAGAAGATGAGCCGACAGTAGGACTCTCTGAAAGCTTCAAGTGTAGCATCGTAGATTACTAGCTGCTAAGAAAGACTATCCGGTAAATGGATATTGGGTTGATCCCCATTCCTGACAAGCCAATCGATTGGTAGATCCTAATTATCTGGTTGAGGAAGCACCTTTCAGTTAATAAATCCTCAATTCGAAGTGGTGAGTCAGTCTTTGATTCCACGGCAGAGTCAGTGGTAGTTCCTCTTTCTACGACACCTAGGGATCACAGCCCTCAACCATGGGCATGGTAAAAAACAAATATCAATTTGTTTACAGTAATATCAGGAAAATAAGAGAATTTTTTATTCAAAAAGCGTACTTGGCAGTACCCAATGTGGCGTGACTAGCCGCCTACCGTTTCGCACTCGCCTTCTATAAATATGGCTAGAAAATCATCATACCAGAGAGAGAGAAATGACATAATCAACCGGAAAAACCCCCTTTTTTTGGGGGGAAGCCGCTGTAATGCTCACCTTTTCTTACGCAACTAATCCTTCCTTCGCTGCAAATGGCTGAGCTACCGCACTATGTTACTTCCATTGATTAAACAACACAACTAGCACTAGAGCCAGTATAGATAAATAAATAATAAACAAGTTCCGCTGCCATATTTTATTTCATTTTTTTCTCCGGATCAAAGCATGTATCAAAGGGCCTTGGATTGCCCCATCAACGGCAGACCGTCAGATTTCTTCAAGGTGAGTCGTGGACTCAGGTAAGGATGCCCACTGTCCCCCTACTTGTTCACATTCTTATCACAGATTCTATCAGCAAGTATCTGTGGTCTAAGCCTAGGCCAATCAACAAGTGTGAAAAAGCCCCAAATGTTCAAGCAATCAACCACGGACAGTAAGCAGATGACATCATTCTCATGGGGGAAGCGAGCGAGTCTGAGGCTAGGTTCTTTAGGCTAGAATTTCTGTGATGTAGTAAAATAAGAAAGAGCAAGGTTTTATCCCGCAACTCATAGGAAACTATATGGTTCGGCAAGCAAATTTTTGACTCTAAGGAACCGATCCAGCACCTTGGAATCCCCATTCATTATAAGGAGAAAAATCGGGAGATTCGAAGAAAGATTCACTTTGGTCCAAGAGATAGAAGGTTGTCCTTAGCAGGAAATCACGCTAATCAAATCGACTCTAACATGCCAGTCTACAGAGCTTCCCTGAAAAACTAGCGATTCCCTATTCCCAAAGGAAAGGCCAGAAGAATAAAATAAGATGATCAGGAAATGACTCTGGGTGGGAAGTCAGTGCTCACTCCAATCAAAAGGAGTGAGCACTGGCTTCGAAGACTCCCGGGCGGAGGCTAGCCTCACACACGAATACAAGAAGACAGCAAACAACTCAAGGGAAGAAGCTAGCACCGACTCTAAAGCTAGGATGGAATGCTTTCGGGGCTGCTTACCGAATCCTTACCACAACCGGAAAACGAGTTACTCGCTCAGGAAAATCAGCACTGATGAGCTTCTTTCCCTCATCCTCGATCTGTTGACCTAACTCAGGGCGATACCTTCGGTTGGGTTTTTAACTGGCTTTTTGCTCCTTGTGATGAAAAAGCAGTGCATGGCTATTTCTGGATCCAATCCTGGCATCTCTGAATATGTCGATGCAAGCTCTAAACTGCTTGAGCAACCCAATCAATAGTTATTTTCTGGTGCTGGTAAAGATTTTTAGTAATAAAGGTAGGTTGAGGGTCATCATGTGTGCCCAGATTGGCCTACTCGAGCTCATTAATTGTGGGCTGGCCTCCATATTCTTTTCCGAAAGGAGCTGGACTGAAGCCTATTTCCTCTACGTCTTCTTCTTGTGCACCATCTGGGTAATAGTCTGAGGTTTCTTCATTTGAATAATGCTTTTCATAGATAAGTTCTTTTTATCTGGAAGAATACTCTGATGGGGAAGTATAATAACTGCTACAATCTTCTTAAAAAAAGAAAAAGGCATGCGAAACCGAGAAGGAAGTTCCTTATTCACTATATCCTGTGTGAAAGAGCCAAATTTCTTTTTTTAGCGTAGCGTAGAGAGAGGACTTTCGGGTGAACGAACGATTTCAGATGCAGCGACCATGGCCTGATTTTACGTAGTTCCGTATATTGATTCTGACGAGTGAATTTCATCCATTTACTGAGAAAGGAGAGGAACCTACCTATCAGAAGAGGTTTTAACTAGAATACGAACTTCATAAGAGGATGCCCTATTATATTAGAGATATAGGTTTGGGAAAATGGGGTTTTGACCTAGTAGGGGTGTTCTGCATTTTTTGATGTAGGTTGGAGTAAGAATTTTGTGTCGAAACGAAAGTCTCATCTGAGAATTCCAGTCGATGATGGGAGTTCCTCGCCTCTGGATGATGGTTTTTTTATCTTCATCTCTTGCATGGGTTGATTCACTGTAATAGGTTTGGTCATCTACTCTGTATTAATGGAATTGAAGGAGGGTCTAGGTATCTCTGCGGCAGAGATAGAATGGATCTTTGGGATCGAATCTGCACAAGACCTAAATGACTTCTTTTTTGAATCTTTTTCAACAATGAAGAATCCGGGGTTTTCTTTCTTTTACAGTCAAATTACGGTTGAGGATGTGTCGAAAAAGCGATCAATGGATCTTCGGTTGCTTCATGGGGTTGCGTACGGGCATCCGTGGTTCGCTAGATGGGGGTACAGATTCTGCCATGGAAGCTTTGGAGTGACCGAAAACAATTACGACAGAGCAATCGACATTCTTAGTTCATAATAAGATCATCCAAGATTTCAGTAACACGAACCGATGCAGAGAAATCAAGCAAGCCATTCGTTATTACGAAGATTTGAGTGAGACCCAATTGATCACAATCAGAGATCTTCTCAGAGTCATGCTTACTCTCAAATCCCCAGCTCCTGCGCAGAGGAAATCGATCATGGCTACCGCTGTTTCTTCTTCTACTTCTTCAAGACTTTCAACCAGAAGAGCCCTGCAAAACAAGCATCTTCATCTTGTGAGAGAAAAATCGGTGAAATTTCACTACTGCAATCGCTAATATGGATAGCGGATGGCCTGCAAGAAGATTCGAATATGCAGCACAAATCATTCTTAATGCATTGAAAGAAAAGAAAGAAAACAAGTTTAGCCATGGCGGGATGAGTCGGCAGGAAGTGCGAGACGCAGCTCGGCTGCACATTGGTGATACGGGTTTGCTCGACTATGTGCTGAAATCAATGAACAATGTAATCGTTGGAAGTCACATTGTCTGTCGTGCTGTGAACCCATCCACTCGGGTTTTGGAATACACGATTCATGAGCTTGGTAATCGTGTTCTGATCAATGAACCGGAACCTGAAATAGTTCCTGAGCCACTTCCAGTACCTGCTCTAGTGCCTGGGGCTGATGTTTACAGTGATGTCGTCTACTTGTATACAAATGTACTACTATTGTATTGGGTTACCCGGAATCAAAATTGGTTGAGTTGGCGACTCGGGAAATTTTGGACAGCAAGCAGTGAAGGAGTGACCTTTTATTTTAAGGATGAAGATGATCAATTTCTGAGATTCATTTGCCGATTGATGCCAAGTTCAAGAGAGCTAAAATATGAGTTGACGAGGGAGCCTGGTGAGCTTATAGTGGTTCCACCCTATGCTACAGTTGGTGAGCTGAAGGAAGCAGTACAGAGTGCAATGAGGGATACTTACTTTATTATGGAACAGTTTGTGGTAACTGATATTGAAGACATGGAGGGAATGGAGGATGAGGTTTTTATTCCAGCCCTTATTAGATTAGCACCCTGTCGATCGATGCCCCTACGTCCACCAGGGGAAGACCCAAACCCGACTTTAGCAATAGCTGCTGGAGAAAGAAGCGACTCACCCAGAGGGAAGAGAAAACTAGGCTCTTACGCAATTAGTAGGGAACAGAGGAGCAACCTACTCTTACCTTTAGGACCGACCAATAACAACCTATTCTCTTACACAATCATTTCTGTACTCAGATATGCTCCTACTAGCAGAGGAATGACTCTAGTTATGCCTTTATTTAGGATTTAGGAAGGCATGGGATAAGGGCTGCCCTTTCTATTAGCTGGATGTGCCCGTATCCTATCTTCCATTAGGCAGCTATCCTAGGAGCTAGTCTGAAGTAGGAAGCTCTGCATCGTCAATAACAGCGTGAAGTGCCCCCGATCTCTCTGCTGACCCTATCCGCTCTTTCTTTCCTTCCTATCTGCCTAGCTAGCTTTCCTTTATGGTTGTCCCAAGATTATTCCCTATGGAGTTAGCTTGTGAATGGGAATAAGGGTGATACCTTCCCTGCGCACTAGTGGAACTAACTGCTTTCTTCTTTGTGATGATAGCCTCTGGGAGCGCCTTTTTAGGCCCAAAATACGGTGTTTCCTCAAGTCTGATCCTTTTTATGTCACTCTTATGAGTGGAATCGGGCTTTAGGAGAAAAAGACGCTGTTTCCTAGCTAGATGCGGTAGTTTCTGGACTCCAATACCTGAGAGCTACTCGAATATTGCTTCTAGTCGCCGAGCTGATGCTATCTCTTTCCTAGGTTTGGCTAAGGCAAATGACTGAACCTGTAAAATAGTTAATTTAATGTTATCAGCCAACTCCCCTCTTTCTTCTTCTACTGATGCTAAGTATGCTTTCCCTCCAGGGATAGGACTGATGCCCGCTCGAAGCAGCCTTCATTGATATTGATCACTCTTACTATAGGATAAGAATATTCGTAACTAATAGACTGAAAGGAAATAGTTAAAGCTCGACTGTTAAGGAGAGGAAAGAAGACCTGACTAGGATAGCTTCCTGGCCTAGGTAGTTTGTATGTGGTAGTTAGCTTTCTTTTCCCTAGATTGCTTAGTGCTGAGCTAAGTTCCGCCCTTTCCTATAGTTATAGTAGGAGGTTTACTATGTCCTCTAGGACGGAAAGGGATAAGATCAACAATGCCATCATTGACTTCTTCCTCTGACCGGGCTTTTTGTTGATTGACTGAACCCGGACTTCTTTTCCAATCCAAGCAACCTACGTGATCAAGTCTTCACGTAGTTCCTTCTCTCACGCGCTTTTCCACGATTCGCCTGTGGTAAAGCAGCTCTTTAATATCCTTATTGCTCGAGTGAGGTTTCAACTATGCTAGGAGGGGCTAGAAGGTAGGAGGCTGGGGGTCTAGGTCACAGTACGATAACCTATTATCCAACCTCTTATTACTGGGCTTGGGAGCACCCTTTCTCAACGTCGAAATAGGCCAGGGTTCGTCTATTTCGATAGAAAAACCACAACTTTGAGAGACCAGACCAAACCCACTTTGGGAACTCAAAGACCAGGAAACGGAAGCACGCTTGAGGCAATAGGGGATTGAGTGGGGACGGACACCATCCCTGCGGAATGGAAAGAAGGCAATCCAACTTAGTGAGCTCGAACGCGCGACCATGGAGACTCTATCTTTGGCGGGGGAGAATCAGAAAGCGGAATACCGGAGTGAACGGCAAGAAATGCAGGTTGCTTGCTTACTCAGTGGCATCCACAACTGGATTTTCTCATTTTTTTTTAGGTATGAATCACTTCACGGTAGAGAAGAGTATTCACTACGACACATACCTTGACCATAGATCGAGTGTAGGGCAGCGGGCAGAGGTTTGTCGATCTGCAGCTCTCGACTTCGTAGTGCCAGCTGTAGGGCTAGGTCACCTAAAATATGTAAGTGTGGGCCCTGTTCCACAATCTCAAAACTCAAACCAATATCAGCCGAAACAGCTGTCAAAAATCTGGTGTGTCACCTCCCTGCCTACGATCAAAGCGAATTGTCTGAACAGAATCTCATCAATGATTCATGGGGTACACTCCTACCTGCATAGAATGAGGAGGAAAGGGGCAACTATATATACGATATTTGTGGAAAACAGATCTGATTTCCTTCGTATGCTCTAACTGCCCTAAGGTAGCCGGGGACCGGGTGAAGCAGTCTCGAATGCCTTCTGTAGGGCTAATGTCAGCCTTCCTCCTTATGGGGCAACTCTGAGATGCCCGCTTTCTCTACTAGCTCATCAACTCCTGTCCTAGGGCAATACATACTCCCACCAGCTTTTGAAGGAAGGGAAGGTAATGTTGAAGTTGAAAAACTTCGAATCCTTGTTGCGTTCTCGCTTTATTACTTTGGACTTTCTATTACTGTTGAAGAAAGTGGCAACTCCACTCACTGCTCATCAATAGGCGTAGGAAGACTATCCGACATGGGAACGTCGGTAAAAATGAGCTTTTTTGCGGGAAAAACGGCAAATAGTTAAAATCATTCATATTCATATTTAGAAGAGAACTTAGTGATCCAGTCCGCCTACGAGAGGCAACTTGTGATTCACCCGGGTGCCCACCCCTCATGCTACCTACAATCTTTGTTTGGTACTACGCATCTTCACGGAGAATTACATTTGTATTGGGACATGCATGAGCTCGACATCGTCAAAGCTCTCGATCAGTTGTTTAGCTGTAGAATGAAAAGAGCGGAGGTTCCCATGGGTTCTTCTTTCTTTCTTAAGGATGTTCTTGTTTCGGTAGAAGGGCATGAGAGTACTCAAGTGAGTGAGAAATTGGGTACATACGCACACAAGCGTGTCCAAACTTCTTCACGAGGTCTTGTCTCCCACAACCTGTCTCAGACCTGTCTTTCTTCTCGGATGTCTCGACAGTCGTTTACTTGTTAAAGAGGGAAGAGAGCAGGAACTATACCTAGGTTATTGTTGAGAGACTCCAGTCATTTCGTCTTATATGAGATGGTTAGTTAAGGGTCTTTATAGCGCACAAGCCTATCAATAATAATGATAAATATGACTTAACATGATTAGACACCATATGGATGATCTCTCAGGTCGAATGACTTGAAGAAATGGGTCACTTTCGGGCAAGGGACAGGAAGAAGACATTTAAAGGCGCTCACAAGGCGCACAATAATAAGATGTAGGAGTAGAATGAGATTTTTTTGATCGAGTAAAGCGAAACTGGAAAAACGGAACCTGTTGCGGTCACCAGAGAGTGGCAGAACCTGTAGTTGCTGATGTATCCCCAACCAATCAGTCCGCCCTACATTGCCAACGCGAAAAAAATGTTATCGGAAATGGGGGTCGCATCGGGCAGGGAGTCTCGCGTCGGGGGTCTATAAAAAGGGGGCGGGCGATAAGGGAGGCGATAAGGAAGCACATAAGCAAGACGAATCCCTTGATTGGTAGAGGTCGGCTGATCTTCGAACAGATAGAGAAGAAGCTGAGCGCCACCCAAATTGGATGATCTCAAGGCCGATGTGCAAGATCCACTATCTGACTCTCTACTTGCTATAGGTCTATCGAGCCTGTCTTTCTTAACGCCGCATTGCCTTTATTTCCGAAACTTGGATTATTTGAAAGAGAGCGAGGGATCCCGTCAGTCCCATGCACTTCGCTCTTAACGTAGAATAGGGAGGTCAAAATCTTTGCGATTAGGCTTAGCGGGGGTGCTACTCACCGGTCAAAGATTGGAGCTATACTTCTCATTTTTTGTATAGAAGAAGGAATAAGGTCTTACCCAAATTTATTTAAAATAAGACCCGCCGGATCTTGGGATTTTCCCAGTCTCATGCTGAGGGGCCAGTAAGGTAAACAAGTACTCCTCCTTGCCGTAACTATTCTAATAAGAAGGTAATTCACTTCGAAATCCGCTTTTCACATATGTTGTTGGAGGAGATTCCATGGCATCCTTTAAATTTAAAAGAGATTGGGTTGGTGCGAATTGGTACTAAGGTACCAAGATCGAACATAGAAAAGAGAAGGAAGCTTCCCCTTTGCCGATTTGACCAGGGCATCTGAAAGTTGTGGATGTCTTCTTCAGCAATGAAGATTTGGTTATATTATATATAGAGTGCCCATCCATGAAGGATAGCAACTCATGACCAGCAGCTGAGTCAATCAGCGCATATCCGCCGCTCGTTGGCCTCTCTCCCCACGCTAGCCTTTCTTCACGAACGCTTTATGAGCGGAGTCAGGAGATAAATCGAGGTGAAAAGAACCCAGGTTATTTCATATTAACATTATACCGCTCATCCTAAGTTTGTCATTTTTTTAGTTTGGTAGTTTACAAGTTTTTTACTAGGCTTTTGAACCACAAGTTATTACAGAATCTTGCTTGAACATGAATATTGGCCCAGTCAGTAAGGCGACATTTGCGTCGATCACAGATGATCTCACTCAATCTTATAAATTTCCTCATTTCTTGTTATTGGTTAGCGAGCGGAGAGATGTGACGCAGAAGGAGGTCTGGACTCCTACTCTTTAGCAAAGAAGGAAGGTTGGTCGTAGATCATGGAATTTCTTGTAAAGAGAATTGACCGTCGCTGAGCATATGACAGGGCAAGACAAGATCTCCCATTTCAGAGTTATCTGAGCCATTCACTTATTACTCCATTCATTCGCAAGTCACTTTCTTCTTGCTTCTTTTTCCAAAGATGAATTTCTTAATGATAGTTGGTTGTATTCACAAATCAATAATAGCCTGTTCTACAGCAGGATTCACCGCATTTTATATGTTTCGGGTGGATCTATTTACTGACTTTTGAGGGTCATTTAAAGGTTCATTTTAAAAATGATAGTGGCAAAAAAAGACCCCGTTCTATTCTTTTTCATTCGGTCTTTATGAGGGATCTGGCTGATCATCCATCGGTCTGTGTACTTAATGTGTGGTAGATATCGAGGCATTGTTCACTTTCCTCTATCTATGGAACAGCTTTCGTTAGGTCCTTTGGCTGACAGCAGTAATGGCGGTATTGGTTCGAATCGAGGGCACAGTGTGGGTAGTCTCATCTCAGTTGGGGATGGAAGGAGCTAATGGCCTTAATAATCTCTTACTAGATGTTAATGAGTATTACCTTATAGAACTCCCATCTGAGGAAATGTAAGGGTCTAATTCGCGATGGACACTTCTCGGGTATTTTGGTTTGCCACTGCTTCACACCAGTCCGGTGCAGGCTCTGTAAAGGTTCGGCGGAGGTTCTCAATCATCGCCTAAGCTCTGTCAGCTCGGTCTGTAGGTGTAGGCCATCAGTTCGTATCATTTACAGAAGAATCTGTCTATCATACAACCAGGGATGGGTCTTCATGGGCTGATTGGTGGCTCTGTCATTAACATAGAATATAGAAGCACAATCCGAGCTTCCGGGATCCGAGATAACAGTCTAATTTGGAGATCGGGATGCTTAATCGGCACACTATACTAGGAAAGAAAAAAGCGAATTCCGATCCTTGGTCAGGAATGGAGGGCTTCGCATTAATAGAATAAGGCAAATGAGCCTCTCTTCTCCGCTTCCAAGAAGGAGCTTCAGCGATTGATCGGCCAGGTCCCATCATCCAATCCACAAAAATGATCTTCTCATTTCATCGTCAAACCAATGAATTGCATTGATTAAAGGTCTTGCTCTCAATCTGAATTGACAGTGCGTTCCCTATATGAGGGAGGTAGTGTAGGAATGGTGGGCCGAACCTCATGAGTTCGGGGAAAACTTCCGGGTAGAGCTTTCAAGGATCTCTACTCGTACGCTGGTATACTTTGATCCTTCCTACTACCATCCGCTCCATCTCATAGCTTGCGTGATCCCTTGCTTTGCGTAGGAACATGAGCAACGAGGTATGACTCCTTATTAGGATGGCTTCCTCTGGTTGAGTCAATAAAGCTAGCTGCTGCTTTTAAACTAGACTGATGTAGTGGGCTTGGAAGCACAGTACGGGCAGAAGCAATCCCCAAGCATCATTTTAGAGCTCATTAGTATTAGTGTGAAACCCAAGTTCAAGGGGTGCAATAGGTCACTATAGGGACATGAACCCTCCATAAAAGACCTTCTTTTAGGCCTAGAAAGGGAATTCACTTATAGATAGGAATAGGCTCATGCAAAATAAGTATATCGGGAAACGGGAGTCAACGGGGGGCAGTTAGCCCGGTCGATAGATGCGGTGCTGAGGTCGCACTTCTCTTAATGAGTCTGTCCATTCGAGCAGTCTGTCGGAAAAGGTTGTAATCCCTCTCTTGGTGATAGTAGCTCTTCATCAGCTTATCGTAGGCTGAGCTCTTCCGCTAGCTTACTAGCTCTGGTAGTAAGGCTCTTCGGTCAATAGTTCCACTGGAATAAAAACCTGTATCACTGCTTTTCATTTTTATTTTTAGTATGAGCTCTCATTGAGAGAGCGTTTCGGCGGGAAATCGCTAAGTTGGTTAGAGTCCTAGTCCGTACCCGCCTATAAGTGAACCGGGTTTGGTCCCTGCCTCATCCCCGTGACCGTAGCGGGTGAGGTGTAAGCTGGTAGCTGGGTTCTGACCTGTGTACTGCTACTGCAAAGTGTTTTTCCCGGTTCTACCTGTCATCAAGCACTTGACTGACCCCTGATGGATGAGTAAGCGGGACTAGTTCCGGCTGGATGAATGGGGAATAACTGCATATCGAAATCTACTTGAAACGGAGGGCTTCGACAACTCGACTTA